ATAAAAACAAAATTGAAAAGTTAAAGAAACCAAATCTAACAGGCTTGGCCATCCAGGTCCAGAGCTTTGAGTGCTTTGCTCTGAAAGGCCTGGCATTAAATCCTTGTGCATTCAGCCATGTTACTGCTGAATTAAAGCTGCCACCTGAAACAAGAACTGTCTTAGGACCTTATCACACGGGGGTCTAAAGTGCTCGCATCCCCATGCGATCGCGCTTCCATACCCCGGCTGATCAAACGACGTCGCAGGGAGGCCCCGCCCATCCCCGTAGCATCCCGATCGCATCCCTGTGCTATAGCGCTTCCTCTTTCCAGCTGATCAAACGACGTCGCAGGGTGGCCCACCCCTGTCGCATCCCGGTCGCATCCCTGTGCGACCGCGCTTCCTGTCACCGGCTGATCAAACGACGTCACAGGTAAGGCGCTCGCATCCCTGTCCCAATGCAGCATGATGCTGCATCATCCAGGCATCATCCCCGTTCATTTGAATGCCTGGTCGAAACGGGAATTACATTTCCCGCGACCAGAATGATGCTGGGATGATGCTGCTTTCTGGCCAAGGAAGCGCGATGGGACGGGAATGCGAGTGCTTCAGTCCCCGTGGGATAAGGTCCTTACTCATGTTATGGCTACTCAGGCAAATGTGAGGTAAGTGACTGTTTGCAGGATGGTTGAAGTTCTAACTGCCCTGCAGGCAAAGAGGAAAGCTTCTAAAGCAGAACTGACCAGTTTGGAGCCAGATGGTGACTGGAAGGTTAGTTTGGCTCTCTGCTTGCGTATATATCAAGTATATCGTAGCAGAGTGTTATACCATAGTATTTTCTGATCCCAACTGCCTTGTCTGGGGTCAGGAAGACTGTTCTGGTCTTTAAGAAGTGTTCAGTTTAAGAAGACAAGAGATTCTTCTTCTGCTCCATGGCCTTTCTAAATTGCTCTTCATCAACTACATGAAGTCACTAAGAGAAATGATCTGGCAATCGAGGCTTTGCTATCAACTGATGTCAACTCTATTGTTCTTTTCTTCCAACTTTCTCAAAGATCCCAGGGTTACAAAACCTAGCACCAAGTATCTGGATTTTATTCTGGGATGCATGAAGGAGAGCAAGTTGAAACAATTCTGTAGCATGAGATCTTATGTAGGCTGGGAATCCTGCTGATCTGGATAGTGGGGTACAGCCTGTCCTAACTAGAGTTGTACTCCCCTTGAAGCACCAAGTGCACAATTTGTTAATAATAATGGGTTTATCGCTGTCTTGGGAGGGGCAGATTGTAACAGTGGCTTGTGTTGCTTTTTAGAGTGGTGTCAAACTGCTTTATTTCTGCAGGGTGGCAGCAGCCTCCCTCTCAAGATAGTCTGGGCATTACAGTTGATAGTACAATTCAAATGCTGCTGGGTGCCAGAAAACCTAAACATATAACCACAAACTTATGTCAGTTGCTTGGCTACTAGTATGTTTTCAGGCCCAATTCAAAGTGGTTCAACTTAACCTTCAAAGAACTGCTTTACTTGTACAATTTTATCCATATGCAAAAATCTACCTCAGAAGTCCTTTTCAAGTGCCTGCTTTATAATATGTGAAGCTGGTGTTTACAAGACACAGGGCCTTCTCAGAGCTCAGAAATATTTCTTCTTTGAGCTACTATTCCTGGACAATCCCAACCAACACAATTAAATGGTCAAGCTGACTAGAAGATTGCAGGGACTGTGGTCTGACAACAACTTCCCCAAGATCTGGGTCTTCATAGGTTATTGTGGGTTTCTTGGGCTGTGAGGCCATGTTCTGGAATAATGTATTCCTGTTCTTTCGCCTGCATCTGTGGCTGGCATCTTCAGAGAATGGTGGCATGGAGGTGTGTGAGGTATGTATACTGTATGACCCTTGGTTGAGAGGAGTAGCATGACCTTCGACTTCACATCTGGGCCTTCCTTTGCTGACTCAAGTCTTTTCCCCTTGGAAAATCTGTGCTCTTCTGCTGTAGGATTTAATCTGCCCTTTCTCTTAAAGCCTTCTTTTGATTTATCATCACTTATGTTGACAAAGTAATTTCATGCATTATTCTGGACCACTGCTTTGATGGGATCACTTATAAATTGAACTATTTTGTATATTGGTTTGGAAAGGCTTAGCCTGAATAGATAAATTGAGTAATAGATAAATGCATACTGGTAAAATCTGAGTTGCTCTCTGAGGAGAGCCAGCATTTTGTAGTGGTTTGAGTGTTGGACTATGACTATGAAGGTCAGGGTTCAATTCCCTGCTCAGCCATGGAAAACCACTGGATGATCTTGGGCGAGTCACTCTCAGCTCTAGAAATCCCTATTATAGAGTCACCTTAGAGTTGCCATAAGTTGAAAATGAAAGCATATGGCAAAAACAAGATCTGAGACTTGGAAATTTCCCAGGATGATTCTTACATGAAATTTGTGTTTTTTTAACTGAGATTGCAATAAAAATAAACAAGCAAATAAATTCATTCACTTCAGCTCTAGACATCTTTCCAGATCTTGGGCTTTCCCACCTTCCATTCCCATCCAGTTACATCCCCACTCCCTCCCATAATTGGTCCTTTCTTGCAGAACTAGCCATAAAGTAGCAGTTATCATTATGATTTGGAGATAAACAGCATGTGGTTCACCAAGAGGTTAAGGTTATTGCATGAGAAAACAAAGCAGAAACAGAGTCGGAGAGTAGTGGTTTTCTCTGTGCCTTATCACATGGTGTCGTAGCGCTTCCATTCTCTTTCTGCAGGAGATGGTAGTAAAAGCAAATCTTTTGTCAGACAAATTTATCTAGTTAGAAAAAAGATGCACCTTTACAATTGTCTCCTGTGGGAAGAGAATGGAAGCACTACAGTGTCACGCAGTAAGGCAAATAAAAAGCCACTACTCTCTGGTTCAGTTTCCACTTTGTTTTCTCATCCAATAAGGTTGCAAGTGTTATGAATAACACTTATACATAGTCAATGGCAAGGGATACTGACAGCTGCCTAAATCACCACCCGGGTCCAGCCCAAGTCCATCCCCACTCCCAGGGCCGCCTCTTTTCAAAGCCGAGAGTTTTCTGGCTTAAGGAAATGGCACCCCTGGGAGTGGGGATGGACCAGGGCAGTGATTTCAGTGGCTAAATCCTTTTGAAAACATCAGGATGCCACCCGTTTTAAATTTTAAGCTGCTTCAGGTAAGCCAGTTTTATTAGTGATGTGATAATCTCCTTAGTCTGGACACATTGTTTGTAACATTTCTGCTTTCTTTCTCTCCCCCATCCACATTTTCCCAAGTATCTCTGGATGACTCATGACAGAACACCACTTCACAGATGACACTTACATTGATGGTGTGATGGTCTTCTGTATCAGCTATTGCAGTTCTTTGCTTATTTGCAATGATTGCATTGCAGATAGAAATACATTATTATTATTATTATTATTATTATTATTATTATTATTATTATTATTATTATTATTATTATTATTCCAATAAATGGGAGCCATTTTTCTATGCAGGTTTCATAATGGGTTTGTCCTTTGGAGGTGCTAATGATCAAGCTTGATGATCAAGCACACTTTGATTTCAGTAAGGCCTTTGATAAGGTCCCCCATGGTATCTTTGCAAACAAGCTAATGTGGACTAGACAATGCACCTGGTTGACCAACTGAACCCAAAGGGTACTCAACAATGGCTCCTCCTCACCCAGATGAGAGGTGACCAGTGGGGTGCCATGGAGTTCTGTCCTGGTTGGAGTGGTATTCAACATCTTTATCGATGGAACAGAAGGCATGCACATGAAACTTGCACATGACATTTAATTGGGAGGCAGTGCCCTCAGAGGACAAGATCAGAATTCAAAATGACCTGAACAGATTAGAAATCTGAGTCAAAACTAACAAAATAAATTTCAACAGGGAGAAATGTACAGTACTACACTTGGGAAGTAAAAATGAAATGCATAGATATAGGACGGAGGACACTTGGCTTGATCTAGGAACCTTAGTAGACCACAGGCTGAACATGAGTCAGCAATGTGATGCACAGCTAAAAAGCCAATGCAAATCTAGGCTGCATCAATAGGAGTATAGTGTCTAGATTCAGTGAAGTAGTAGTACTACTCTATTCTGCTTTGGTCAGACCTCACCTGGAATATTGTGTCCAGTTCTGGGTACCATAGCTGAAGAAGGATGTGGACAAGCTGGAGCATGTCCAGAGGAGGACAACCAAAATGGCGAAAGGTCTGGAAACCATGCCTTAAGAGGAGTGACTTAGGGAGCTTGGGGAGCACTACTGCTCCAGAGAATAGGACATGGAGAAATGCATTCAAGCAAAAAGAAAAGAGATTCCATCTAAGCATTAGGAACAACTTCCTGATGGTAAGAACCATTTGACAGTGGAACACGCTGCCTCAATTTCCTGAGAACAAATTTGGTGATATAGAGGTGTGGGTGTTGAACTTGGACTCTGGAAGACTGGAACTCAAATCTCTGCTTAGCCATGGAAATCCATGGGTGATCTTGGGCAAGTCACAATCTCTCAGTCTTACTGGAAGGCAATGTCAACTTTTTTGAAGAAATCTTGCCAAAACCCCCCAGTGATAGAGTCAACTGCAATGAGTCGGAAATGATTTGAAGGAACACAGCAACAACAATTCATTTCCCCTCATCCCAAATTCCATTTCTTAGGATTCTTTCCAGTAAGATCTGTTTCCATATGCTACCAGGCATGCATTTCAATTTAGCAGTGTTATAACTCTTACCTGTGGGAGAAGGTTTGAAAGCTGTAGGGACTGTTTTTGCATACTTCCCCTTACCTCATTTTCATCCTCTCCCCCTACCCTGGGCGCTCTCCTTCTAGGGATTTTGATGAGAATTGTGGGTGGGAAATCACTGTTGTTGTCTGAGGCTTTTTTGGCTCTAGCCAGTGACAGGCCTGCATGCCTGCAAATAACAACAATGAAAAGTAATTTAAAATTAGCATGGTTCCTCCACCTTTTACCTCCACATATCTGAGCCAGTGTGGTATAGTGATTTGAGTGTTGGACTGTGACTCGGGAGACCAGGGTTCAAATCACTGCTTGGCCATGAAACCCACTAGGTGACCTTGGGCAAGTTACATGCTCTCAGCCTCAGGGAAAGACTATGGCAAACCTCCTCTGAACAAATCTTGGGGGGGGGGGAACCCTATGATAGGTTCACCTTAGAACTGTCATAAATTGGAAATGATCTGAAGGCACACCATACACACAGACACATCTTTATTCCCTACTTTCCTTCAATAGTTTTTTTATGAGATTTGTGAGCAGGGTCATTATATTATAATTTGTAGTCCTTGAGTATTATTTTTGTGCTTTATAAAAAAGCTGAGCACTTGGGAATAAACATGTAATTTAATGTTTATCCCATTTGCTTTCTTGGCTATAAAAGTACAATTGCTATACTTCCTTTTTGGAAGCAACAGGTTGAAATGGCAGTATGATCTTCAATTTCTTCTGCATGTGCAAATTTTACATCAACTGGCTTCCTATTCTTTTTGTATTTTGATAAAGCATTCCCTCTTTTTCGATAATGAACCAGCCTAATTCCAGAACCCATCACTCATACAATTTGGAAAACTGTCAGCCTTGTGGTGGCAACAGTGGTCCTTATGAGAGTTGGTTTAGAAGAACAGGGTGCCAGAAAATTGGCCAAATAAAGCACTATAAATGTCATATTTCTTGAGAAAAAGATGAGATCTTCTGGCTTGCCAGTCAGAAATGTCATGCAACAGAGAGAGAGAAAAAGAAAGAGAATGCTGCTCTTAAGTATTTTGACAGGCTGTTGCAATGAGCACTGGAATCTCCTGCAAGAAATAAATACATTAATAATGTTGTTGAAGAGTGCTGCAAGAGAAAGATGAAACAAATCAGTGGTGTTATGTAAAAGCAGCAGGAAGAAGACATGCTACTGTTGTGTAACTGGTTTTTCCAAGAAAACTGTCTTAGTCAGACGTCAGTTAAAGAAAGGCAGAGTGGAATATAGAATTCGTCTTTGTCATATTATGAAAGGGTGTAGCTAATTAGTAAGAGAGCTAGCTTTCCCTGAGAAACTTGTTAGCTTTTGAGAGTATTTGATCTGTTTAAGTTCTTTGAGAAGTGCAAAACAGTACAAGGTAGGGAGGGATTCCCACAGCAGTGCTCCATCACATTTCCATGCTACTCTTTAGGGGTGTCTCATGACATTTTCATAGCTGAGTTGCCAACAGTTAGGAATAGTGGAGTTGGATTTACAAGTGAGAGCAAGAAGAGCAGAACTTTTGGAAAGCTACTTTACAGCTCCTAAAATTCCCTAGCCACAATTCCCCAGAATCCCTGACCAGTTGCTTGAGAGATGCTTCCATGTTACACAACCCCCTGAAGATTTATAACTTGGGTCATATTTTGCATGGAAATGTGATGGAGCACTGCTGTGGGAATCACTCCCTACCTTGTACTGTTTTGCACTTCTCAAAGAACTTAAACAGATCAAATACTCTCAAAAGCTAACAAGTTTCTCAAGGAAAGCTAGCTCTCTTACTAATTTCTAATCCTTGTACCCCTATATATCTTTAACTGTTCTTCCAACCACCTATATATCTTTATATATCTTTAACTGTACTTCCAACCAGGAAAAGAGGAGAATTGAATTGTTGTTGTTGTGTGCCTTCAAATAATTTCCGACTCACTGCAGTTGACTCTATCACTGGGTTTTCTTGGCAAGATTTGTTCAGAAAAAGTTGACATTGCCTTCCAGTAAGACTGAGAGATTGTGACTGGCCCAAGATCATCCATGGATTTCCATGGCTAAGCAGGGATTTGAGCTCTGGTCTTCCAGAGTCCAATGTTATGCTGGATTCTTTCACACACACTCCACCTTTCCATTTTATAGAAACGGGGCAGTGGCAGTGCATCCCTGTTTGTCCTTCAGGAATTTCAGCAGTATTCATTACTATTGATCATGGTATCTTCCTGGGCTCTTTGATTGATAAGGGAGTTGGAAGGACTTGGTGACACTGTTTTGCCGTGGTTCCAGTTCTATTTGGCTGAATATTAACAGAAGGTAGTGCTGAGGGATTGCTGTCTGGCCTCAAGGCTGGTAGGCAACCTAAGGCCCGGGGGCCAGATGCAACTCCCCAAGACCTTTGGACCAGCCCCAGGCTGGTCCTGCCGCTGCCGCCGCTGCCACTGCCGCCGTCACCCCCCGCCGCCGCCGCCACCCGCCATGATGATATTGATTATTGTTGCTATT